AGCTCTGAATGCATGCGGTTGTGATGTTGCACAATGAGTTGGGCATATGCAGTCCTATTTTACTGAAACCATTCTATAAATATCAATTAGTACAAAGGTTACTCAGATGCATGCTCTATCTGCTTGGTTAGTCGCATTGTCGTCTGTTTCTAGGGTAGGTGGTTGGCCGGACGTATGTTGCGCTTTGATGCCACCACTTTAACAAGCGTCTCATTGGTACGGGTTGACGGGAACTAACTTCAACCCGGCGCCCTAGGCTCAAAATATAGTCAAGTTTACATTGACGATATTCCAACTATTAGATCGGGAGTTCGCCAATTTTAGGAACTCAACTTTCTCACTGAGCCACTGAGCGTCCATCATTGGCACGCAATCTCTGTGTGACCCTCTACACCCAAAAAGATGTGCTAAGATTCCAATACGAACCCTCCATCCGTTCTGCCAGTGTCATCTCAGAATATACACCCCTCAAGCTCCCAGGAACCACCAGCTTCCCCGGATATCTCCCCATCTCAATGATCTGCGCATTCACGTTGCATCAGCTCACATCTGAAAGCGGGGAGCTACAGGGTATTCTCTCAAAGCTGATGATTCTCCGCATCCGACGCGAGAAGAGGAAACAACTCCAGCCCGTGATTGGGGGGCCTTCTGCTGCTTCATGCATTGTGGCACTCGTTGGTCGTCAACAATGCAGTCCTGATTGGCCTGCTCTCAGGTTCTTACTGGGGGCCCAGCGTACTTAATCCTCGCAGATCCCGTCTTCACAAGTCGCGCTTGCGTCGTCCGTTTCCTTGCAAGCCTGGCGATAAGAAAGCTGACAATGTGCGGACCAGAGGAAGAGAATACGACTAGCCCGGGCCCGGCTGTGGTCCCCGATGACCAGGTTTGAGCCATCTGTAGTTTTGACCTGACAATGGCTGATCTGTGTAGGTTGATAATGACGGGGATTCATCGTATGAGACGGTAAGGCTTTGTGCAATGTATAAAAAAGGACGTAAAAGCTGATTTTCGACCCCGCTCGCTATAGGATACAGCATCATCGACACAGAGTCTTTCGGCTTCCATTCTCGACTATCGCCGTGAGAATGGCAGAACCTACCACCGATACAAGGACGGAAGTAAGTCCTTTGCTGGGTCTAGTGAAAACATCGTACTGACCATGGTTTTAGAGTATGCCATGCCCAATGACGACATTGAGAATGAACGACTAGGTAAATTGTTGCTGAACATTTGGAGGTGATTTGCTCAGCGTTATAGATCTTCAGCATCATTTGTTCCTTTACACGCTGGAGAATAAGCTTGGACTGGCTCCACCGAACGATCACGATGCCAAAGTCAAGCGTGTGCTGGACTTGGGCACTGGTACTGGCATCTGGGCCCTGGACTATGCCGATGAGCATCCTGAGGCGGAGGTAATGTGACCGGCACCTGGTAAAGCTCGCGCTGACAGATGCCCAGGTCATTGGGATCGACCTGTCCCCTACGCAACCAGAATTGTACGACTCCCGGTTCTTTTGGATGGTCAGGCTGACAACTTGAAGTGTGCCCCCGAATGTTCAGTTCATCGTGGATGACATTGACGAGGAATGGAGCTACTCCAAGCCCTTTGACTATATCCACAGCAGAATGATGAATATCAGTGTCGGCAATTGGAAAGACTATCTACGTCAGATTTATGAGTAAGCGATGGAGATTCTTGTATTGTCCCGTCTTGGGGCTAATTTTACCAGAAACCTTGAGCCTGGAGGTTTCGTCGAGATTCAAGAAGTCGACATCGCCATGAAGTCTGACGACGACACCCTCACCCCCAAGAACCAGCTCGCCATCTGGAACAAGCTCCTCAACTCCGCATCCGAGAAGATGGGCCGAGCCATGGTCACTCACAAGCACATCAAGGATCTCATGGTCGAAGTTGGCTTTACTGACATTGTCGACACGTATTTCAAGTGGCCGTCTAACCCCTGGCCTAAGGATAAGAAGCACAAGCTTCTGGGTCAGTGGAATAATATTAATACGGGATACGCACTTGAAGGTGCTGCCATGGCGCCGCTGACGAGGATTCATGGGTGGAGTCGGGAAGAGGTTACTGTCCTCGTCGCTGGTGCGAGGGCGGAGCTGAACAACCCGGCTATTCATGCCTATTGGCCTATGTGAGTTTTCTTCTCCTCGTGTGGGTTGTTTGTTGCTAACTGTGATAGTGTTTCCATCTACGCGCAGAGGCCGAGAGAGGAGACTGAATGAGGGGCTGGGTAGCATGAGTATATGATAGAACATGAACATATCATAGACAATTGACTTGTATGCATGTCGATATCATTTGAACTTTTCGGTCCAGAGCGTAGATACCCTCTGTCGCACCGGTATGCCGGGCATATTCAATATCATCATCGACATGTCAAGAGAAGAGTCATTCATAACGAGAACTGAGTGTCAAATAACTATTAAAGGCACTAACCGATATCCAAATGCAGTCACTTTTCCAAGACACCATGTAGACTTTGAGGTAGCAACACGCATGCTTACGCCGTGTTGTAGTACATCTCGATCTGCTTGATCTTGAACACAGCCTCCTGGACAGGAGGACCGACACTCCAGCCCGGGTCACCGCTGGACCAGTTGTTAAAGATCCAAGCACCAGGCTCAGTGGGCACGTCCTGGGTAGTCTGCCAAATCCTTCTACCGTCGATGTAGAACTGAACCAACCCGGCCGTCCAGTCAACGCGGTACTCGTGCTCGGTCGTGGTTGGGTTTCTGGGAGGAGTGACGGCCTTGTAGGTGCTCTTGCCGTCGCCGTTTGCGTCTTGGTTGGTGAACCAAATGTGACGGGTGCCGGCGTTGGACTGGGACTGGGGATCGGAGAGCCACTCGATATCGATCTCTTGAGTGTCGCTCTGGTAGAAGAACATGCCTAGGGTTACGTCAGTAATGTTACCCTACTGAATTACGAGCTTAGACTTACCGTTGCAAACACCAGCAGGGTCGCTAACAATAGCAGTAGTTCGCACACTCGCGTACTTGATGTTCTGGACATCGGTGATGACCTCGGCGCAACTGTATGGCATCGTGGTCTGGCCGCCAGGAACGTGGAGCTCAAGGTAATTGTTCCGGACCTTGACGTTGGCAGGGGTGAAGGAATGGCTACCCCCAGCTAGATAGTTGCTCGCGGTGAGCCCCTTAGGGAGCTTATTACCGGGGAAGGTAAAGACCTTCTTGTTGGTGAACTGGGCCCTGCGGCTGACGATGTATTTGCCATTCTTGAAAGGAGGCTCCGGAGAACGGTTCTGAAGAGTTCCCTGGGGCGAGGCCACAGTCAAGCCCAAGGCCAAGAAGGCGACTGACAAGTATGAAGTGAAATGCATGATGGATATCGTTGAAGAGTGCTTGTCCAGGAATTATCCACCCGAGACACTCACATATATAAATACTCGCTTACTATAACCATTCCCAATGCGATTGAGTTTCGAAACTAGGGTGGGCCGACATCTAGACTTGTGCAGGAATGTCATGGCCAGGGGAAAGACGGTGGCGCCAGTCCAAATGCAGGCGTCAATGCATTCCACGGCATCTCCAGCCCGCAGACTTGGTAGGGTTATTGTTTGCACATGCCAGACAAAGCATTACAAATAAGTGTTCCTGGGCTTTGACGCGGGCCGAGCCATTTCGGCTCAGGCACATCGATCGTGGCTGGAAGTGAGAGCTATTTGTGGAGGGGTTCATATAGCTCAGATCTTGGGATGAAGCCATGGGCTATCAATTCCGAACGACTCACTTAGTGGGCCGTAGTAGATCAATTACAACGTCAAGATTAATATGCCTACGCGGCATTGATCCTTAGCCGCAAGGGAGTAGGCGCCCGTATCGAGAAGACCACTTCCCTTGGTCTTGTTATGTGAATCGTCACCAAGTCGTCGTAAGTTTTCTTCTACCTTTCCACCTCTGCATGATTTTGCCAACACGGACATATTCTACTGTCCCCGGCCCGGCTTTGAGGAATGAGGTGGATATTTGCCATGCATTGATAAGACAAAAAGTGGCAAAGTGCATGATGGCTGCTGGCCTAAGGTTGCGGCGTTTTGCGAGATTGGACCTTGATGCTGTCATTGTACTCATTGTTCACGTGTCTGTGATTCTAATTGACTAGCGAGAAAGAAGGCGAAATCATCACCAGCCTTGAAGGACTCGCAGCTACATGTGAGACTGTGCGGACAAGAGCGACGCGGCCAATATGCCTTGAGACCGGCATAAGCGAAGCTGCAAGGCGGTAAACGATATATGCAGATAGACTAAAAGGTACAAACAATACTCAACTTGCGGCATCTTCTTTCATTGTTCAATTAAAGCGGTGTCGATGGTGTATCGCTGTTCCGTGTTTGCCATTCATCTCGTCCCTTGTTCCTGTAGGTGCCCATCTTTGGACATCTCTCGATGGGAATAAGTCTTTCTGACAATGGTGAGATTTTGCTAGAACAAAGAGGTCCTTTATTATTGTTAGAATTCATCTAACCTATAATCATCTACTTGGGGTGGCTTGTCGGTTGCGTTTTGGCTGGCTCCTCTGTGGAAATGGCACGCCTCTTCCGCCCCAAGTGTTAGAATGGCTTTGCTAGAAACGCGGTCGAAGTATACGCTGTAGTTCTTTTTGGAAGAAAACCCGTCATCAAATTGTGTCTTCACTTCGTATCAAAGAAAGAAACTTCTGAATGCACAAACCTCTTTATTACACCGTTTCATCGGCATTCTCAACGCTAGTAACTGAAAGGCCTCCAAACCGACACCTCGCATTCAACATCTGTAATAATAAGTTACAATGTTCGCTTTCTTTCCATCCTTGGCTTCCATAAGAGTAAGAGCCTGGCGCTTAAAGGCTTAGACATTGGACGCCTTGGCTTAGCTAAGTCGCGATGCGCCACCTTCTTTCAGCTGAGGATAAGGACACGCTGGAGAATTTCTCGCTCAGCAAATCTCACTCAACTCTTTGAATACTCAACCTCGTCACTGCTATGACTTCAGAACATAGTGTCCTGCCTCACACATGTGAGCACTGTCAGCGCATCCTCCTCGATAAGCCCGTCAAAAAGGAGGTATACGGTCAATACGATGTGACGCTTCCCCACACCCGAGGCGAGGTGTATCAAGCTGTGCAAGCAGGCTGCCCGCTATTCTCTCGCTATCCAAAGTTTCCGTTCTTTGGCCTTTCTGTGGCACAGTCGCTTGATCCAAATTCATGGCAGCCATGGTTTGATCAGCCCCAGTTCCTACGGTTCGAGGGTTGGCAGCGCAGATCTGCGTTAATGCTTGCCAAGAGCATGCTGAACCCTTATGATCAACCATTTGAGATATCTTATAATACAGAAGGTGATTTTAGTCTGCGGTGTCTAAGTTGGGTGAGCGAGGTTGATACTATGAGGATTGTGGCCCCGCCAGGTATGCTTCGCTTCTGACAGCATGTAGCCGAACATTAGACTGACTGTCCCTCAGAAGATCCAGCTGCTCAAGACATTGTGTTCAGACCTATCAAAGAGCAAGTAGATGTGGAAGAGACCTTCGCGTTTCTGCGGTCCCAGATCCAGGAATGCTACTACACGCATTGCCACCAAGGAACTTGCCCTCCGCCAACCGGCGGCTTCGCACCTCGGCGGGTAATCCGCATCGGTGGGTCGACAAATCCCCCAAGTCTTCGACTTTATGCCCCGGAAGTGGGCGAAGAGGTCCAATGGTGCGCTCTCAGCTACTGCTGGGGTGGGCAGAACCAGAGCGTCATGACCACCCTTGCCACGCTTCAAGAAAGATACGACGGTATCGACTTTGGAAGCCTTCCAAGGACACTCCAGGATGCCATCACCACAACGCATCGTCTTGAAATCCAGTACATCTGGATAGACAGCCTTTGCATTGTACAAGATGACGGCAATGAGAAGGCCCAAGACATTGCCCAGATGGGCGACGTCTATAGCCTAGCGTACATCACACTATCTGCATCAAGCGCCTCGACTGTTACAGAAGGGTTTCTTCAAAACCGTTCTATACCTCAGCCTTTGACCCCAATCGCCCTTCGATACGTCAACGAATCCGGGGTTGAGGGCACCATCATTGCGACTTCAGAGCCAATCCCTGAAGGTATGCCTGATCCGATCAATTCAAGGGCATGGACTTTTCAGGAGCGCGTCTTATCACCAAGGCTTGTGGATTTTTCCTCCACTCAAGTGCGTTGGAGATGTAACTCGGCTGAGAGATGTGACTCTGGGTGTCCGCCTAGGACGACATGGAAGGTACATTTTGAGACCAGCTGGGTCGTTGACGGCACAAGTAACCCTTCGCGCACTTTGACGGATATTCAAGAGCAATGGAACCATCTTGTCACAGCTTACTCGCAACGAAATCTGACATATCCTGCGGACAAGCTTATTGCCTTCTCAGCTATTCCCAAGACGCTTGGCAGACCTGGGAGATATCTGGCTGGACTGTGGGAAACAGATTTGCCATGCAATCTCCTGTGGAAAGTCACTCATCTTTGGTTTCCATCGTCTGGAACCGTCGACAAGCGAAAAGCTAAACTCGAAACCTATCATGCGCCTTCATGGTCATGGGCCTCGGTTGATGGAGAGGTCGAATGCAAGCTTGGTGTCGAATCGTCAATGCCTGAAGCTACTTGCGAAGTTCTGGATGTGCAAGTCGACTTGGCCAACGATGATGCACCGTTTGGTGCCGTGGTTTCTGGATACATCATCATCAGGGGCAATACGAGACACGCTGTGTTCTATCCTTCGATGAGTGAGCTGTTCTTTTATGAACCTGGAACAGAAGAGGGAGATGAAGAACGTCAGACGGCCAGATACGAGGGCTTTGCCGATTGCAAACCAGATAAGGATATGACAGCTGCCCAGAGTCCATCAGTCAACGTGTGTTGTCTACATATACGGAATTTTGGAGGTCGCGGAGAGGGCTTGCTTCTCGTCGAGGACGGTAAACACAATGTCTTTCGTCGTATTGGACACTTCTACTGGAATCTAGAAGACTTGGGAAATTCGTTTCAGTCTTCGGAAAATGCAGAAGTTATGGTCGTGTAATGGGTAGTGAGTTCGCCATTAGATTGGGATTCTTTGAAACAAACTCCTCCAGTAGCCCAGTAACCTAGAGAATACCCCGGAGCATTAAATTGGGTTCAAAGCTCAGCAAGTCTGTTCAGTAGATTGATTGCCTTCAAGAGTAGAGAATTGCCTTGTGTAATCGCTGCAACATGCATTGAGGCCAAATGGAGTTCAAAACCAAGGGGACAAACAACGCTCCAATGGCATAGAAAACTTGAGCAGTCTCTCCGCTACATAACGTTGCATCGTTTTCTTTCATCATAATCATCAGACAGATTAGGCAGGTCGTCAAACAAATCGCCGTACAGAGTATGAGCCACGCGCTTGACAAAAGAGAGAAACTATCGCAAGCATGGAGATAACGAAGTCACAACGGGTGAATTCTAGGATGGAGAAATAGGGTTTCCAATAGGAGAAGCGGAAACGCGTGTTAGTTCTTGGCCAAAGCCTCGTCGACTGGCTTCTCTGGCTTCTGGCCATACATGCTGAAACTGTTATTCCTTGGGTCAGCATAATCATCACAGCAGGGAGAGTACGTATCACTTACACACAGCCGGTCGCCTGTGTCTTTGGATCCATCAGAACTTTACGCATCTCGACACCAAAGAGCTGCATCTCCTCAGGGCTCCAACCCAGGATCTCACACAGGGGCATCTTTACGAAGCCATCCAGTGCCTGGCTGAAGGAGAGACCGACAAAGCTTCCCAGCTCCTTCTTCTTCTTATCCTTAGGCCACCGGCCGACGGGGATCTTGTGAGCCTGGTAAGTGATACTGGAGAAGCCTGCGGCCTTGGCCATCTTCTCTTGCTTGCGATCGGTGAAGTCGAATGTTCGGCCCATCTTTTGGCCAACTTCGTTGAAGACTTGAGCCCATCGGCTGAAGATACTACAGACTTGGGGTCAGTGCATGGAGAACAGCTAGGTAGTAAATATAGGACATACTGCTTATCATCAACAACAACATCCGGGTTCTGAGACAGCATCTGGAGATCAGGCTCAATGTGTTGAAACCAACCTCCGGGCTTGAGAGCCTTGTATACCTGACCGTAGAGCTTGTCCCAGTCCTCGATTGATCCCTGCAGATAACGGATGTGGATAAAGTCAAAGGTTTCTGGTTCAAAGGTCCATTCCATCTGGGCGTCATCGATCTGGAATTCCAGGTTGGGTGGCACGAAAGATGGTTGAGTTGGGGTGATGTCGGTAGCGATGACTTTAGCTGAGGGGAATTCGTCGGCCATGTTGCTTTGAGGAGTTAACGGTTGAAGAATACGGGTTCCAGAAACGCTTACATGGCCCAGATTCCAGTCCCAGTTCCAACATCAAGGATGTTCTATCGGTGTCAGTGCATCTCTCCCTATTCGGGTGTCATAGACGGACCTGAGGGTTGTCCCCGATAGGTGCGAGGTACAGCTTGTTGTCCAACATCAAACTTAACCAATGGTGTCTGTAGAATTTCAGTTAGTTCCGAGAGCGCAACTCATAAGCCGTGAAGAAGCCATACATAATGTCGAGGGCTTCAAGCTGCTCCTCATCGTTGGGCGCCCTTGGCATCGTCAGCAGAAGCCAAACCAGTTGTTGAAAGCCATTTACCAATGCTTGCCATATTTGGGATTAGCATAAGTTCGACCTTGGAAGTAGTGATTCTCAAAGATGCTAGAAGTAATAGACGCGGTGGAATCGATATCGCTATTTATGTCAGTGTCGGGACCAGCCAACATGGTCAGAGAGAGAAATACCTGTCTGCTGTCACGTCGCTCTCATAGCCGACGTTAGGATCCTGATGAATGAGTTAGTGGGCGAAACGGGATATGGGAGGTTTAGCCCAGGGCGCAGCTACTTACGGCTTCAATCTGGGACATCATCTTGAACTCTGGAGTCTCAAAGAGTGGAAACACTTCCAAAATCGAAAGAGAGGGGAGGATTCTGAACCAACATTTGGCGCTAAACGCGTCACATGTGCGGGGTTTGTCTTGTTTTGGTTGTGGTCTTGGCCCTGAACAATGACCTGGGCGGCCCAGACCCTGGCTGCAGGTAGAATACGGGAGGATGCCGCTGATCCAGTGGGCTGGGTAGGGGTCCAGGCGGGAGTAGAATTTAAGTACCGGGAGGGCTTGTTGGATGAGAACTGCCGTTGGATTTGGCGACTTGGTGTGGCAAACAGACAAACAGAGCCAACAGAGCATATGCCGTGCTCGATAATGAGCTCACAGTAGCTCATTCTATACATAGCGATGAACAATGAGCTCGAATCCATCTGTCGAGATGTTGTTTCCCCTTTCCTACTCGTTCTAGCTGGCCGGAGATGACAACGCTAATACGGACTAGCGATCACCACGACACCTTGACTGCTGCACCATTGGCTGGAGTAACCTGCTAAGGTGGTTCTGGACCACTAACAGGTGCTGGGAGGTGGCTGGATGAGGACACGGCCGAGGCCAAAGACCAGCTCTGATGCATTCCAACGCATCTGGCAATGGTGGCTGCACTTCATGCCCGTGGATCTGGGGGGTCCCTTTTCCGAAGACTTTGTTGATCAATGGAGGAACTGCGTAGATGGCAACTGATGGGATTGAGAGACACTCGAGAAAATTCTTGAATTTTGATCACCGAAATAGCATCGAATCTGCGGGAGTGGGTGGCCCTTAAGCTTAATGCTGGTGAGCGATGCGTAGAGTACGGCGGGGCACAAAGACGGATCTAACAAAACGGTGGCGGGGGACGGAACGGAGAGTAATAACGGAGAGCAATAACGGGCAACAGTAACGGAGAACAAGTAACAAAAACGGCCAATCGATGAGAAACGGTTGCCTCCCTGTCCGTGCGAAAATGAGCGCCCTGTTAGCGACTTGGTGATCAACCTCTGTGAACTGGCCATGGAGATTAAGATGGTCTCCTCGCATCACACTCTTCACCCAACAATGGAGATTCTTTGTGCATCAACTCCCTCAGAAGAATTCCTTGATCATTTGTTGAGCGGCTACCTGTGTTTTATCTACAGTCGCAGCAAGTCGTCCCAGTACTCCCAGTTAAAGTTGTTGTCGTCAATCAGCCCCAAACCACCAAAATCCCCATCAGGCGCTGAAGGTGCTTGCATGCTTTGCTCAAGTTCATCATGTCTCTTGCTCCAGAGAACTTGAATGAAGGATGGCAGAACTCCTTGATCCAGTGCCACTTCCTTTCTGTGTGCTTCCCAAGCCTGAAGGGTCAAGTCACCAAGGGCCCTGAAGAGAGCATTCTCCGTGTCGCTCATCACCTCGGGATGTTCGGTGTAAAGATCCTCGACTAGCTTCCATGCTTGCATCACCTGATCACCTGTGCATCGGCACCGTAGCTCGCTAAGAATATAGATGTAAGCGTCCATCTGAGACCAGTGAGTCAAGTGTGTAAACAGATGCGATGAAAATTTGCTGCGAATGCCATAGCTGGACAGCTCCAGCAATGTGACTGCTGAGTCAAAAAGCAAATCGCTCTCGCTTTTGGTCAAATACACATCCTTGCCACCCATGCCTCGTCCCCGTGGATGGTGAAGCTTGAACCGTAGACGAGCAATGGCAAGCTGAGCCATGGCATCAGTTACGCCGTGTAGAGGTATTCGCTTGTCCAAGTGACGCAAGAACTTTTCTTCGTAGATGCCTTCGAGTTCGTTTATTGCTTCGTCTTGCGACTCCATCGATATCTTGCCTTTAATCGGTCCGTGGCTGATGTTCTCGAAGAATTTGGCCGCCTTGGGCGACGATCGAAGCCAGTGTGTGACTTGATACTTCATCAACACGCACAACATTTCAGTCGGACCCTTGTGTTCAGATGGAGTCTCCGTCATATCGGGATGTAGATCAGCGTCGTTGATGTTTAGTGGAGGACGGACGTCGCCGCATTCTGATGTTGGCAGCTTGATCCCAGGGATCGAGACAGCGCGTACTCTAGCATCGAGGCCTCGTAGCTGCCACCAGAGCCGAATTCGCATCTCCCTCTCGAAAAATGAGATTTTGGGATCCGCATTCTCACGATGCAGACCCATCTTCTGGCCAAGCCGAATGGCGGTTGCGGTCAGAGTGGAACATAGTTCGGATTCTGGGTCTGCGAGGAGGAATAGAACGAGGGCCTGGAGGACCTCAAACTCTCTTGATGTCAGGAACTCGGCTTCCATGAGAGCTTGCACAGTTGCAGTTCGGTAACGTGTCAGCAAAGTGTCCCTGCTTGCGCCAATGGAGGCTTGGCAGTCATCTGAGGACATTGATGTGACAGCATTGGTGTACACGGCAAACAAGATAGCCGCCAAGGGTTTGGGTACGTGAGCAACATCCCAGCTTGCGTCCATGATACGCTGCTGCAGAGTTGGCACATGGATAATCTTGGTGAGAGGGTTAACAGTCTCGACAAAGATTTGCCAGAAACGATAGATGTGTTTGGGTTCTGGGTGTAACTCGTGAAGCTTGGGGCGCGTATCAGGCAGCATCAACTGGAGTGAGGGTGTGGGATGGAGGAATGGGTCGTCTTTATGACGCAGATTTTGGACAGAAGGATATTTGAGCTTGTTTTGCAGCAATGTTAGTATGAGGCAGTTCAAGAGTCATGAGCATTACATCATACCTCTGGGCTCAGATTAGACCACAGACATCTAGAAGCAGAGTCAGTATACTGTTCAAACAATGTGATGTAACACTCTCTCACAGTTCTTCTTGGGGTGTGTCTTGTACCAGTGAGTCATCAACTTTCACATCCCCTTCTAGCTCACAAGGAACCCAGATATTGGCATGCTGAGTAAAATCGACGTTGTGCTTCCGCATCAGGTCCTCATACTGAGCCAATCGGACCAGTAAATCTTGGTCGGCAGCTCTCTTCCGAGGACGAGGTAGAGCTGGGGTCTCGTATGAGCACTGCATCTGCGCCTTGAGACAGTTGGAGCAGGGGTCTTTTTTGTCGCATTTCACCTTGCGCCGAGCGCAGAGGGAACAGGCGTTCTTGTGGAGGCCTGGGGTAGGTGATGGTGTAGGTGACATGATGTCTTGGGGTTGGGGTTGTGCAGAGCCAACATCCGAGTCGTTACTGAGACTTGAGCTATTATCAGTCTCTGGAATTCTCTTGTCGGAGAAATAGTGAAGCTTGGATGATCTCGTGTCTTGGGACAAGGGAGAGCGGAGAGCCCGAACGCTTCGGACCTCTCGGCATCGAATCTAGTCTAGCGCACTTTGTCTCGGCGCCCGAAGGTCCCGAACACGTGCTGATGTCTCAGAGTCGGGTTCCGTGGCTTGTTGACCAGGCGTCAGGCTGAAGACACTAATTTCAAGCTGGAGTGTGCTTACTGAAGCTATACTGAAACATCTGTCCTCTTTCTGACGTCTCTGTTTCTCCCAGTGAGATTTCGTTATTGCATTGGGCCTCTTGATTGTCGACCCGCCCCGAGTACAACCTCAACAACATGGCGAGTTCCGCCGGTGATTTGGACTCGGCCCGGAGCCAATTTAATGAGCCATTGCCTGCCTTGACTACTATCTATTACACCATTCTTGTGTACTTGCTCTACTATATCAATCGAGCTGGCCAACGTGTTGCATCGATCAAGGTCAGATTGGCCTCGAAGCCGAGCGACCCGCCCAACTCTACCAGATCCTATCCATGCTGCCCGAAGCTTCCTGTCAGGTAACCGATCTGCAAATTCCTTCTTGTTGTGTCTTCTGGAGCTCATACCATCCAGAATATTCACGCCAAAGTCCTACTATGACAGTCCTGGCCGGAATCTTCCGACACTATTCACAGTCCATGGAGGCGGCTTCGTCATGGGTAACCCTCAAAACGACGATGCCTGGAATCGTTACTTCTCCGATACTTACTCGGTCTTGGTCATTGCCTTGAACTACCCCAAGGCTCCGAGTGCTCGATTCCCAACAACCGTATACGACCTGGAGCAGCTTATCCTAGCAGTCCTATCTGATTCGTCGCTGCGAATAGACAAAGATCGAGTTGCCATCGCGGGCTTCTCAGCTGGCGGTAGCCTTGCACTCTCCGTGTCCACACTTCCCAGCATGTGCGGCAGTGGAGATGGCATTCGTCGCATAAAGGCCGTCATCTCTTTGTATCCACCCGTGGACATGTCTATCGATCGCAATTACAAGACTCAGACCCGCAGATACAAGCCTTCACTGGGAGGTTTCCGTGCTCGACCTACAGATTGGCTGCTACGCCTCTCCCCAATCTTTGACTGGGCTTATATCCCAGATGGCCAAGATCTACAGGATCCCCTCTTGAGCCCCATCTACGCTTCGAAGGATGCCTTGCCACCATATGTCTTCATGATTGCTTGTGAGCTCGACATGCTTGTGGGTGACTCACATAGGATGATTTGTGGTTTAGCCGGTCGTCCTCTTAGTGAGGTAACTGTGGGCAAGAATGAACCAGGTCCTGTTGGAGAGCTCATTCTCAACGACGAAAAGTACTGCTTCGAGGTTTCAAGAGAGAAGGGAAGCTACAAGTGGCTTCTTATTCCGGATCAGGTTCACAGCTTTGATCATTACAAGCAGATGGAGTCGATACACAGGGACAAGGCTCATGCCTTGGATGCTGAGCCAAAGGCTAAGCACAGCCAGAAGCTCATTGCGGAATGGCTATTCTCTGGTCCATTTAAACAGGCCGCTGGAGTCTCGTCAAGAGCCGTGCACTGATTTTGGTCATTGGGTTCCTGTGTGTAAGATGCAAGTTGAATAGATCCATCCTCCTGTATCGATACAACATATTACCATAAACAATATCTTCATATCTCTGAACATGCTTTCTGGAGTGTTGAACCCCCAACTAGTTCCTTTCGCCATCCATTACTCTTACTCGGCTGTCAGAAGTTGCTCAGTGAAGCCTCCGAACCCACGTTCCTTGTCGTGAAGGTGAATCTCAAGAATCCAATGCCTCTTATGTCCATCCTTTCCAGTCGCGTTCATCGAGTTGTTGTTTCCGTCGGCAATGTACAGGCTGATCTTGTCGCGAGGAATGCGTTCATGTGGGAATGATCCCACAAGGTGGCCTGCAATGGGGGCACCAAATGTGAAGCCCTCCTTCTCAGCAGCAACAGAAGCAATCTTGTAGAGCTCTTCTCCCGTCATATCCGGGTTCTTGTCGAATTGCGCCTTGACGTCTACCCAGATAGGCTGGAGTGCATCACGAAGCCTGATCTTGTGGGGGTCATCGCCGAGGACATATGTGCGTCCAAAGTCTGCTTCCCACGCCTCAAACACAGGCCCAAGGTCGACAATGAGGATGTCATCCTCCTCGATTATTCGGTCTGGCGGGTTCTCCTCGAATGGCTTCAATGTGTTGGGTCCGCTTCGAATGACTCGCTTGTGCCAATGTGTCCTCACTCCATGGCGCTCAGCCCCCAGTGCGTGGATCTTGTCATTGAGTTCCTTCTCGCTGATTCCAGGGCGAATGAGGTCTCGCTCAATCTCATTGAAAAGCTCAATGGCCTTTTTCTGAGCATCCACCAGAGATGCGGCGCGTTCGGTCTCGACAGACATGGCGAAAGTTGAGGTTTGTAATTGACAGAACAAGAGTGGACAGAACAAAGATCAGACGGAACTAGACCGGGCTTTTCTAGACAAATAGCGGTGACTCATTTGTCAGAAGGTGCATCGTGGGCTGACGTAACTAGTTGAGGCCGAGACATGGCGGAACGATGAATGAGTTTTCGGCGGAACGGGTTCCGTAGCTTGTTTGGAGAGGGCGCGGCAAGTGACCGAGAGACGTGATTGGGTCTGCAGATGTTGCACATGCACAATTGACGCTGTGGCATCTTTGAGGAACCTACGTGGCCTGCATTGAGTCGGCGATATAGAAGCGGTTGAGGTTGGTGATAGTTGACATGTTACAGCAGATGGCCGTTCAGCCAATATCGTCTTGGTCTCAGCGAAGATCTCCGGTTTTGGTTAGTAGTAGCGCGGGACGGCTTGAATGATAAATTTAGAATATTCAGGGGTCTTTTTGTTTCACTCTGACGTGTCGGTACAGATTAAGGTTGCTATGTTCTGCTCCCAACGTGACCAAGTCTCCCATTTGCTCAGGGTGCCTTGACCAGCACACTCGACGCCATGATCAATCGTGCACAGCTAATCTTGGCTGAAGATGACTTCATTAGAAAGTGAGGGTGCGACACGATACACGATGGAGGTTCAGTACTCATCTACTCGGAGACCCTGCTCATGCGGCTTCCATCCACGCTCTCTCAACCTGAACAAGGGGTATCAAAGCTGCTTGGCATATATGTCAATCTGGGGATTGAAACTGACACTGAATATTGAGCCCCTTCAATTCATCAGACTGTCTTTGGCTTCTGTGCACACAGAGAATGGAAATGCACATAAGAGTGCACGGAAGAATCCATCAAGTCCTTCCGCACCTTGACAAGAAAGACTTCGACCTCCTCAGGCGTCCAACCCAGGCCTCGAGTAAAAGGCCCCATAGTGATGGCCTGCAGACCATCGTAGATGATGCTCCTGTTGTAGAGGCCTATAGTCTTAAGGCTACGGTCCTTGGCCCACGGTCCGACGGGTACCTTTTTGATCTCGTGTCGGACGTTGACAAAACCTGCTTTTCTTATTCTCTCCTCATTTTTCTCCGACGCGTGCATGTCGACCCCAAACGTGGCCAATCCCTCCTTGATGTTGGCCACCATCTTTGGGGGCGTGAAGTCAGGGTGCATGGTTCCATCGTCGCAGCCATATACCCAGCGGAATTCGGGCAGCTCGATCCAACCACCGGGCTTAAGGTTGCTGAAGTGACATGTCAGTTGTGCTGCTTTCAAGGGTATTTCGGATGTACCTGTATGCCTGCCCAAGGAGCTTATCCCAGTCCTTGATTGCCGTCGACATGTTTCGCATGTGGACCAAGTCTAGCGAGTCTTGGCCAAAGAGCCAAGGCGCCTCGGCGTCATCAACGAGGAACCTGACATTTGGAGGAACCCAAGGCGGTTGAATAGGGCTCAGGTCGATGCCAATGACTTCAGCACCTGGATACTCGTCGCCCACTGAAGAAACGAGTCAGCATGTGTTTTAAACACGGGCCAGATCAACTCATGGCGCACTGTCGATCGCCCAGCTGCCCGTTCCTGTGCCAATGTCTACTATCTTTTGCGGGTCCTCAAGCGGCGCATTATGCAGCTTGCCGCCCAGCAGGTGGACAGCGACGGTGTGCTTCATGTCCTCCCGCTCTTGCTCGGGCACATCATTCGGGAACTGATACAGGCCTTCCTTGAACTTGTGATACCTGCGACTATTCTCAAACTGATAGTCTCGCACGCTGGAGGCTATCGACGTAGAGGTGGTCGACTGCGCGTCGGTCGTGTACCCCTCATCTGCGGGTGCATCATCCACGTCGATGTGCGGATCGCGAGGCACGTCTTGTGCTGTTGCTTCCTCCGTCGACGGGGGAGATTCTTGTCTCTCGTCCTCTGGCATTATGGGATTGCAACTATTATTGCCGATCTCCACTGAGTCTGGAAAGGCCAAGGAGGATGTGAAGGTTGGAGTTGGACCGTCACATCCGATGGGGCCAGACCACAACAATGGGGCCATTATCACCGCATCCCAGTGGTGGATTATTTGTCAGCAGGCAGGCCTAGTCTCGCTTAACGTGCGTAATTTATTGTCCTGGTGAGACAAGAGGTTATCGATCGGCGAACTTGTGCAACATCAAAGAAGCATTTATCGGAATATTTACCATGGACGCCTTCAAACTTGTCCTTGCTGACAACAACACCGTGTCGGGAATAAGCCATATTCCCGCACAAAAGTCATCCAGGCCAAAGTACTGCCCACTGGTCGTTGGCCTTCACGGTGGCTGCTATAACAGCGGATACTTTGACGCCACTCCCGATTACACGGCCAGCTTGACGAGCGACTCTCTGTCAGTTCCATTTGTGGCCATTGACCGTCCTGGATACGTTGATTCGACTCCTGTCACGCCCATCCCAGAAGGTTCCAGCTTCCCTGAGGAATGGGGTACCAAGCTACACCAATACATCCTCCCAGCCTTATGGAAGGAATTCGGAGTTCCAAATGGCTGCAACAGCATTGCCCTGCATTGTCATAGTCTCGGTGTTAACGGTGCCCTCGTGGCAGCCTCATTGTACGCCACTGGCTCTGAGACACCGACCTACCCACTTGGAGGCATTGTTATATCCGGCTTTGGATCTCTTCTGAAACCCACTGGTGGCCATGCCGCGCAACCAAACCCTCTCCCTACGCATATCAACATCCCTATTCACGTCAAGGATAGTACTCTGTTGCTACCGGGAACGGCAGATGAGCAGGTGTACGCCCAGTCACAGCGAATCGACCACGCCATGCCTTTCGACGAGATTGTTGCCTTGAAAGCGTCTTGGCTTCCCACATGGAAGGAGAAATGGGGTGCCAACGTCACCGCGCCCATCATGGTCGCGATTTCTGAGAGAGATCATTACTGGGTTGCCACGGATGAGCATCTCAAGGATATTGTCGCGGCCTTGCCCAAGAGCACCAGGATAGACACGAGCATCATTAGGGCTGCGCCGCATAATCTTGAGTTGAGTTATTGGGGTCCGGGATGGTATGCGAGGAGCTTTGGGTTTGCTGTTGAATGTGCGGCGTCGCTTGCGATGGAATAATTTGGTGAATACCTTATAATATACTAGTAGTGCCAGCCTTGCTACGCCTAATTTTGCTGTCTTCAGTCTCAGGTACTACGATAAGGCGCACTTCCAGTACTGGAGTGCAGCTACGCGTCAGGTGGGCAAAGGGCACTTCGCAATTATGGTCACAGGCTTGGACTACTCAACCAGATGGAGGCATGCACTGATGGGGTTGGCCGACCATGTAGCACTGGTCGAGCCTTAGGCCATAGCAATTAAGGAACGATTTATAGCTTAAATATTTATGAAAGCATAATATGAACAGGAGGGCTCAGTTGCCAATGTGCCATGAAAGTCCTAGACAGAAAGAGATGACACTGGAGGCCGTTGTGGCAGTGAATCACTGGCGGTCTTTAGGGAAATCAAATTACATTCGAATTGGATTCGAATTAGGATCGAATTAGGAGGGTAAATCTCCTTGCCTAATTAGGAGCCTTCGGGCCCGAGACGAAATCGGGGCTCTCGGCGCTCGGGGCCGATCCACCTCGGGCGCCTTTCTTCCCTTAACGATTGCTGATCGTACCAGCAAAAGGTCGGTACTCTCCATTGATCATTTATTTATAAACTTGGACCTTCTCCAAGATCTCGGCATCTCTTTCTCTTCTACTAGAAAGTCAGCAGCCATATACCCCTCGGCAGTCAAAGTTCATGCACATCCCTACTCAGCCTCTCTATCAGAACATTGCAACTTTTCCTTCAAACCCAGCGCAATGTTCTTCGAAAAGAAGAAGAGAGATGAAGCGGATCCTAGATCCTCTGACCGCAGTGGAACCACCAGGACTCCCGAGCCAGCGACACCCGACACAAGTGATGCTCCAAGCACTGCACCCATGCAGACAACTCCCGGAGAGCCAACATATCCTTCCGGTCTAAGGCTCGGTTTGCTCATCACATCTGTCTTTGTTGCAATGTTTCTTGTTTCTTTGGTTAGTCTGTGCATATCAGGAGCAGCTGCATTGGAACTAACATCTCACAGGACAGACTAATCATCACGACCGCCATCCCCCAAATCACTGATGACTTCAACGCTGTCACGGATATCGGGTGGTACGGCTCTGCCTATCTCCTGACACTGTGCGCCTTTCAACTTCTCTTTGGAAAGATTTACTCATTTTTGAGCATCAAGAAGACACTATTGTCCGTGATCTTACTCTTTGAGATCGGCTCTACCATCTGCGGTGCAGCACCAAACTCGGTTGTCTTCATCATCGGTCGGGCCATTGCGGGCTTGGGAGCGGCAGGTATCATGACCGGCGTGGTAAGTGTTATCGAGAAACCCTTTTCCGCTTGGGGTTTACGGTTTCTAACATTATTGTTCCGTCCAGATGGTCGTGATTGTCCACTCCGTTCCGTTACACAAACGCCCACTATACCAAGGCATGTTCGGTGCTGTTTTTGGCACTGCATCTGTTGTTGGGCCGTTGCTCGGAGGAGTATTCACCTCCAAAGTCACCTGGAGATGGTGCTTCTATATCAATCTCCCTCTCGGCGGAGTGGCCATGGTAGTAATACAACTTCTCCTCAACATTCCTGACCAAGATAAGACGAAGCTCTCGCTTAAAGCAAAGATATTGCAGTTGGACATCTATGGCACAGTTCTCTTCATACCAGGCACTGTCTGCTTGGTCTTGGCACTTCAATGGGGCGGATTGGTACATGCGGTAAGTACAAAGGTCCTAAGCAATGTCAGGGTCTAATTGATCATCCAGTGGAACGATGGGCGCGTGATCGTTCTCCTTGTTCTCGTCGGCTTACTACTTCTGGGCTTCGCCATGGTCCAAGTCTTTTTACCAAAAACAGCTACCATACCGCCTAGAATCTTTATGCAGCGCAGCATCGCAGCCGGCTTCTTCGCAACACTCTGCATAGGCTCGCAGATGATGATCTTTAGTGAGTTCTCCAGTAATCTGATAAACCAGACCTTTACTAACTCTTGCCCAGCCTACTACTTGCCCATTTGGTTCCAGGCCATCCAGGGAGTCTCGGCGGTAGACTCGGGTTTTCGAATTCTTCCTACTGTGCTCTCTGTGGTAGTGGCGTCTATTTCAACGGGCATACTGGTCAAACGCATCGGCTACTACACACCCTTCATGATTCTCGGAGTGTGCTTCATGAGTGTCGGTGCTGGCTTGTTGACCACACTACACATCGATACTTCCACACCCAGGTTGATCGGCTATCAAATCCTTTACGGCTGGGGAATGGGTTCCGTTTCTCAGGCTCCAAACCTCGCTGCTCAGACCGTCTTGACAAAGAAGGATATCCCCATTGGCGCCTCCCTCATGTTCTTCTCTCAGTTGCTGGGTGGAACAATATTTGTCTCGGTGGCTCAGAATATGATCAACAACCAACTTCTTCATCGACTGTCGTCAGTCCCGGGATTCAGTGCCGAAAACATTCTGAACTCTGGCGCAACTTCACTGACACATTTGCCCCCATCGATCAAAACGACGGTCTTGGTCGCTTACAATGAGTCTATCCGAACTGTCTTCCGGGTAGGGTTGATTCTAGTGTGCTTGACCATGCTAGGCGCGTTATCGATGGAGTGGCTTAGTGTGAAGAAGGATGTTGGAAAGCAGAAGCAGGAGGAGGGTGAGGAGGGGGGCATCGAGAAGTCAGGGGGCGAGAAGTGAGCAAGAATAGATCAAAAGGGGGGATACTTCAACCTTGCAATAGGAGTAAATAAGGTGTTTTCAGAAAAGTCCCAAGTCATTAGTAACAAAACGTTGATGGATGCCTCAAGCATCCGCTCCGCTTTAAAGAATGGTTGCCTCACCCACCCCAAACTTGACAGGTGAGCTCCCTCGCTCAGGGGCCAATCGACTTGAAATCTTTCAAATTCCAAGTCAATTATAAGCAAAAACACGCAGCAATGTTATCACATACGACCATACCTATTAGAAAGCTCGGGATCCCGTCCGCTCTCCCATAGATAAGCTAATAAGGGGCGGATTAGTAGTTAAGTCGGTGACGATTAGCGAATCCCCGCTGTTGTATGTTTTTGCTCGTTCAGGGTTTTCTTTTTGCTTAATCAAGGAAGAGAATCACCTTATCGGCTTGTACCTGTTGTGACATGGTCAGGGTGTGATGGGTGTTGAGCTGTGAGACCTGTCATATCCCTGCCTGGTCACTCACAGCACCGGATTCTCTCCCCCGGGGGTTGGTTGGTTTACGAGTATAAGTTGATGTGGTATGTTCCGTAAACGGCTATTCATCCCTACGTTCGTTAGGTCAAACAGTTTACGCGTGGTTATAGTTCCTCAAAGTGCACCTAAGACGCGAATGCTCTCAAGGTGTTAACGGAAGGACAAGCTCAATCGCTCGCTCAATAATTCATCAGTTATTACTACACTGCTCGGGAATGACCGAAAAGGGTTTAGAACCCTGGTCCTCGTACTCTTCGTATCTGCTTCATACTAAACTCTGACATGCCTGGACCAGGGTCCCTGTGTGATCCTTGCGCGCCCTCAGACGGCACAGTCTCGAGTGTGTGGCTTGTTAAAACCTCGCCGAATGCTGGTAGGGCTGAGTCAAGACGCATCTTCTTCAACTTCGACCTAGAACGAGCATCCCCGACCCAAGCCCCATCTACCTCGAGCATTCTTCACAAATTATTGGCTGATTTCGTTCAGCCGCCAACTGTCTCATGGCCAGGTCAAAGAGGGGCTGCATCACCTGCAGGTAGGCTCATCGTCATGACTCTACAGCGCCATCACTGACACCAGGCCAGAATCCGTCGTGTAAAATGCGACGAGACAAAGCCGCAATGCAAGAGGTGCCAGTCCACGAAGCGTGTCTGTGACGGCTATCTCTCCGAAGAAAGCTTCATGCCACGCCGACAGCTTGTTGAAGCCGTCAAACAACTGTCTATAATTGGCCCTGTCTCGCGCGCCCTTGCTCAGACCCCTCCATCCAAGTCAATATCGCCAGATGATCCAAGTTACTTTACCTTTTTCCGCAGTGTCACTGTCCCCAGTACATGCAGCTTGTTTCCGTCGAGTTTCTGGCAACAAAGCGTCTTGCAGTTGGCACATGGCGAACCCGCTATATGGCATGCAGCGATCGCATTAGGGGCCCTTCATCAGAGGACAGAGGCTCCAGCTACAAGCACCAGCAAAGATATTGAGGAGCTTTCTACTCGCGCCGTTACGCACTACGGAAAGGCCATGGCTCTTGCCAAGGACTTGAATTCGTCTGCAAAAGTCGTCAGCTTGTCGCTTGCCCTTGCAGCCTCTGCAAATATGCTTGGACGTTGGGAAGAAATGCACACCCATGTCATGGCCGGCCTTGGGATAATTTCTAAAGATATCGCGCACGGTAAGAGCCTCGATATCCTCGGTGGTTCTCTTATGAGGGTCGACCTTCAAGCCATGACCTTTAGTGACTCTGCATCACCATATCCATACAACGAATCTACAGCAGCGTTTGATCTGAACCACTTCCTTGAGATACCCTCTATTCCACCAAGCTCTTACGAAGACCTCAGTTCTGAACTCTTCAGTATATCCAGAGCCTTCTTTCTACTCGACAGTGGCTTGTTCCACGAGGCGATGCCGTATGGTCCTTGGCTCACAAAGGTAGATGGCTTCATCAGACGACTGGTCCAGTGGGAGACCAACATGGCCATGTACGAAGCTTCAAACACTGAGCCTACGTATGACGAGAACACTACCAGGCTCTCGCTCCGCCTGTACCATGTGGCTCTCCGTATACTTATTCGAGCAACTGCCTTTGGTCCCGAAACTCGGTACGACTCGTTGCTGGGGTACTTTGAGTACGCGATCCGGCTCGCAGCAACACTTCACAAGAGAACAAGTGGAAAGAACGCAGTCAGGGTTAGCCTTGAGCCCGGCTTGGTCATTCCATTGTTCTTGGTCATACACCGCTGTCGCCACCACGCGCTGCGACATGCTACCCTCAAGATGCTTCTGAAGACCAACAGAGTCGAAGGCATGTGGAGGAGCGACGCTACTGCCCAAGGCCTCGGCACGATCGTAGCAGTGGAGGAAGAATCACTGGGATCCATCAATACCCGAGACTACGTGCCGTCCTTGTTGGATCCTGCCTCTTTGACTATCCCCTGGAGTGCTTGGTCCAAACCCTCATTCAATCTTCATGCTAGCGTCAGTTGGGACGATGTGCCAATGATACCAGAAGACAAGCGAGTGAAAGAGGTCTATGCTGCCACTTCGTATAACAAGCGACGAGCTGAGCTTCGCCTCTTGATGTCCCCGAGCAATGACACGGACTTGCATGGGCCGATGAGAGAGCTGACGGTGCACTTTTAGTATAGACGAGATCTGAACAGATAGGAGTAGTTAAAAATGAGCGGCACAACACGAAATTTGCTAATAACACACAAATACCACTACTTCTATTACTGAGATGAACGAAGCCAAATCTAACCCAATGCCCAAGTTCACCCTCTATGATCTATCCCCAGATCAGAACAGTCCAGCAACAATGACTCAGGTGGGAAACTGTTTTCCCCTCAAACAATGACCATCACCACCACCATAAGAAAAGCGAAAGCCAAGTTATCAGTTAGCTGAACACCACTAGATGTCGTCGTCGGGCTCCCATCTTGCGTAGATCCTTTGGAGCTGTTTTTGTCTCCATCGCCACCCTTACCCTCCATCACACGTTCCCCCTTCGTGCCGGCCGGCTTTACTACAACCCAGTCTTCAGTCTCAGCGGTGCCCTCCTCCAGAGCCTTTACCTGCTCAGGTGTGCATGTATCGCCAGGTTGCAAGACATAGCAGATATTCTCAATCAACTCAGGCAACTTGTTCTTGACGTCCCTGACGCTTGCCTTTCCCTTGGATGCGTAGTTAGGGGTCTTGGTCAGCTCAATCTCGCCAGTGGCAACATCAGATCTGAACATTGTCCTCTCAAAGATTGTAGACACGGTCTCAGCCTGGTAACCTCCCGTACTGTGGCCGGCTTGAAACACTCGAGAGAATGAGAGATTGCCGTATTCACGAACAAAGCCACCCTCGTGGGAGGCGTTGGTCATGATAGACTGATATCCAGCAGCAGCGAACTGGTGAGCTTCGGAGAATGGAATGCTCAGGGAGGCGTTTTCTCCTGAAAACCCTATGCAAACTCTTGTCAGTCTATGCCAGGTATTTGGATTAACCGAGAACTCACAATTGCAGCGGAAATCCCTGTCTCCGTTGATCATGGCAATATTGACGCCATTCTCGAGAAGATGGCCAATGTACTCAAGACCATAGCGAACCATGTCTCCAGTCTTTCCAAGGAATGCGGCCTCAATCTCATTGCTGCCTCGCGTGTAGTTCAAAGGCACGCCAAGCTCTTGTTGCACCCAAGGCTGGTTGAAAAGTGCCGTTTCATACTCGGTTGGAAATGAAGCGTACTTGTTCAAGGTAATATCGAAATGATGATACTAGAGTGTCCCAGTCAGCAATTTATCCTGTGTTTTCTCACATGTGGGAGACCAACAGGTGATACTTCGTCATAAATCGTGACCGCGCCGAAGCAAACTTGCATCGCCTTGAGGCAGATTTCGTTCACGTCGTTGTTGGTTCCCGTACTTTCTGGGTCGTCCTTCGCTACGGCAGCTCTGCATTTTTCGACCAGATCGAGACAGCCAACACCAGGTGCAGTGATATTCCCGAGTACCATTTCAGCCACTTCCTCGGAGTAGGTCGGGAGGTCATAGGTATTGTTGAGAGCAAAGTCTGGAAAGCCCAAAGCCATAGAACGTATGTCCACCATGGCATTCAACAAGCCAACTGTAACCAAGTTGAGGGCGGTCGAGTTGGCGACCGGATTATCTCCTTTTTCGATCTTCTTGTTCTGGTCGATAAAGTAGGAACTAAAGACGGGTGCGAAGAGACCACCGTACTAGATGAGGATAGGTCAGTAAGGTATCAGAAGGGCCATGGACGACACTTACCGATACCGCCCAGATAGCCAGTTCATCGTTATTTGTGGCCCTCTCGGGGAACCTACCATAGTTAGCACTTTACTCAAGAATTCGTTAGAGGGGTCCCTCACTCGTTGAACCACACCTGTGCAAACCGCCAAATAGTTCTCGCGGCCGTCTTGGTGGTGTTCATCGTATCTCCAATGCCAGCAGTCTGCAGTGTGGCCTGCAGGTTTGTAACGTTTAGCTCTGGTAGGGGCTCTTGATCTACCACAGGAGTGAATTCTCCTGTCACAGTATCATAAGTGCCATTCTCAATCTTTGTGTAGGAGAAGCCAGTGCCAAGAGGCTGTTCAATGTAGAGCATATTGACATGGTTATTCCAAGAGTGTTTGTTGAGAGTCGTCGAGTTTGAGTCGGGATTCACGTAGCAGGGGAACACGGAGGAACCATCAAAGGAAGTGTATCCAGGACCTCCGCCGAGATAGATGGAGGTGGGTGCATTCTCGGGGTCATTTCTAGCCTCTATTTGGGCCGGTCAGCATATTGAAACAGGTTCCTAACAAGATAATGACATACCAAAGTACCAGAAGAAGAAGTTTCCCGAAGTGTCCTCGTCCCAAGCTTTGGCATCAGGGATAAAGTCCCTTGGGAGACTAACATAGCCAGAAAAGGATTTGACACCTTCGGTTGTCTCACAGAGGTTGTGAACTTGCTTGTACGAAATCTTGGCTCCAGGAAATTTCTCTGAGAGCACGACTTCGACGTTGGTTGGCGGCGAAACAAAGGACTGGGCGACAGCTCCCAGCCCAAGAGTGAGTAGGGACAGAAGCCAGGGAAGCTTCATGATGCAGTATGTTGAATGTCGATTAGGTAGATGGATGTATAAAGTGGAAGAGTGTTTGGATTGAAGATGAAATAGCCAAGACAATGACTGAGAGTTAAGGACTGGTTTATATGATCAATTCATACCTAGGTAGCTGTCAACGACCTTCAATACTGCCAGCATCAAGTTATGGTTCCCATAGGGCTATGATGTCCCTTGGGTAAGCGTTTGGCGAGCCAGCCAATCAAGATGCACTATTCTGGTCGAGCCTCACTTTGCTTCAAGGGTTCCCCGTTTGCTGCTGCGCCTGTCAGCAATTAGCGGGAGTGCCTCCTTGCAAGGTGCTGTGCCCAGTGGTCTGGCGAGGTGGCCAATCACGAAGCGTCTCAATATTGATGCAAACGATTCTTGGTCACATCACAGGAACAATCTACGTGGGCTGCCTACGACTTCAATGAGGCTCATCAAAATGATGGAGCCAAGACGAGTTTGAGCCTCACATCCTGATGCATCATTTCAATTCGCCCATACTGATGACACGCGGGTCAGCTCCAGCATCTGAAGCAAACCAAAGCCGCAATCACGAGCCGTTCGTTGTAATTGGTGGGCTCTGGGTACGGATAGAAGGGCGCAAGTGTCTGAACATCGTGGTGCTTCCAATCTCAACCCAAATGGGTGTGATACTCTAGGTATAGGGTGGGAGGTCTGACAGTAGGGGAAGGCTTACGCCAGTCTGCCAGTCATGCCTGAGTGCTTAGCAAGATCGCAAAAGGTGGGTTGACGCGTCCTGAAGAATTTAGATACCAAATTGGCCAGCAGGATGGTACAGAATTGGTCTCCAGGGCACACATTGAAGCCCGAAACCTCGCTTTTTCGGTGAGACCTTTCCAACAGCTAGAGAGCCGACGAACCGAAGCGCTGATCGGGCTCTGGAGTGGTACAGGCTCAACGCATCGAGAGGAATGTTCGACCGCGTAAAGAGCGTGTCGCGGACGCGTCAAATCAGACGCGTCCTAGAAGAACTGTCGGCTATTCCGTTTTTGGAAGTTCCGCTAGCCGCCCGCTCACAGGCCAAATGGACAAAGGCGACGTGTGTGGTAGAGCAAACGCGACTTGACTGCGCGTACCACACGAAGGATCCACTGTTAGAGCACTCAGGCAAGGGACCATGTCGCTCCAGCCAACGGGTTTTTCGCTGCAGCCCACTAACACTCTCCACTTTGCAACTGCGGGTAAACTTTCACATGTCCCATGCCTGATTTCCTTGCTTCACAAATCACCATATCCTCTCACGTCTATTAACCGGTAGTGCACACATCTTGAGGAGTAATGCTGCGCGAGTATAGCGCTATCTCATAGGGAACTCTGATATAGAAGGCGTATGTGAGAACGCAAAACTGTGTAACCACACAGCCATTGAGAAAGTTGATCGGAGCTCGTGAGTATCCTTGACTGGTCGTACCTCACTGAGCATTGGAGATCCGTGATGACCAGCTCATTCACTGGATGAGATGGCTGCTTTCAAACAGCGGTCAAAACTTCGCACTCTTCTCCATAGTAACGAGCAGGCAACAGAGATTTCTTGACATGGTAACCGAGATCATCGAGACCCATCTCCAACCTCCAGGCCCACCACCTGCCGGCGGCCCAAGTCGTGAAATGAGATGGGATCAAACGGGTGCTCGCAAATAGACCAGCCGCGCTCAGACCCATTTTGTGTGTTGTATTGCAGTCATTGATGCAGAATCCAAAAATGCTACCAAGGCCATCACAGCAGAACAATCACACTACGCTGGGGCTCTGAGAACATGGTGTATATGCAACTGAGGCTGCAGAAGTGGATCAACGACCTTCGTCCTGTCGATCCTCCCACAGCTTAACACGACCTCTACTCTAACTCTATATGCGCTTTCACTGGCACTGCACTCTTCCTCACTTCCGGGGCAAGCCTCAGAGAGCAACGAAAAGGAAAAAAAGGAACACGCCTGTCAGACGTCCATCAACACCCACCCCAACCGCGCGCCCGAAGGCAAGACCGCTGCTGGGGTCGAGATCATCAAGAGGGAAAAACTCTCTATACAGCAACCGCTCAAAGCGACTGCCGCCGTCTTTGCAGACAGAGCGAGAGGACCAAGGTATTCACTCTAGGGTGTCGAGGATATGCACTCATCAACCAGGGTGGGATCTGTGGCTCTTTTGGAGAACCAAGAGAAGGTCGAATACTATAGAAATGATTCTCCTGGGAGGCGTCAGCGGATGTTGATCGGGAGGCTACCAGTAGGGGTAGGCTTACTGAAGTATTGTCGACATGAAGAAGAAAAGAAAAAAGTCCAAAGTCCAGAGGGAGAAGGACTTTTTATACAGCCTTTCTGTGGGGCTCTGGTGGCATTTTTTCTTTGCGCCTGAGGCCATGGCGGCAGGCGGGTCGAAAAAACACCGCCGGTACCAGCACCAAAATTGTATGGGGAGAGCAGCGGTGATTTCTTTGACCCGCCTGTGCGGGTCTTGCAGTGATGACTAATCGCTCGACTTTTCCACAACGTGGGTCAAGCGAAATTGGCAATGACATCCCCTTGAACAAGAGGTCAACCATCAATTCACACGAGGTGTCATTCTCTTACGGTATGCGTGTCAACATATCAGTAGAATTGAGATTGCCGTGAGTCATGATGATACTTCCAAGGTCTGCATTCTGCAATAGTATTCTTATTTTAGTGAGCCAAGTTCAGTGCTCTGTTGTGCACTTGTCCCAACATGACTCTCTACCCGGGACAGTTTGCGGTCGGCCTGGGGACCGAAAAACCCAGTTGGTGAGTGCCCACTTGTAGAGACGAGTCAAGGTCAGCTCGGTATGTGAAATTTCTGGCATCTTTTGCTTCAGTCTCTGCCGTATGCTGTACCCTCAGCATATGAGCCTTCCGACAACCGTCTCCAGCACATACGACCATACCCACTGGAGAACTCGGGATCCCGTCCGCTCTCCCATAGATAAGCCAGTGAGGGGCGGATTAGTAGTTGGGTCGGTGACGACCAGCGAATCCCCGCTGTTGTATGTTTTTTGGACCTCGCAGGACCTCCCTTTTTGCCTGACGGCTGCATGCTGTTGCTCGCTGAGAGGTGTGTCCTTCAACTCTCACACGGCTATCGCCCGTCTCTGCAGGTAAAGTTTCGGTTGGATAAGATACAACATGGTCTCGGTGTTGCAGCTGATAGCATGGCTGAGAGTCATTGCCGTCAGGAGCTTGACGACTCGTGATCCTCCTAACGTTTGGTCTTGTCGGCTTGTACATGTTTGGCCTGGCCTTCACTCATTTATAGCAATCAAATGATACACGCTTGGGCAACAATGTTCACCATTTGGTTATGCGAAAAGGACATGCTGCAAGATGAACCCGCTCCTCTTGTGTCAAGTTGCTGCACAGGATGCTTATTGTGTGGACAGGAACAGGAGTATGCAACACGATCAGAAGGGGAGATATTTGACCAATTTCTTAGCAGAGCAGAATGTCTCTTTCTTTCAAGCCTCCTGTCGAGCTTATACTAGCTTCTGCCATACCCTCTTACCACATTGCCCCATACATGTGTTCAGGTTCATCATCAAGCCCGGGCAGCAGAAATTTTCTCAGAAATCTTTGTTGTCCAGATGTTATCATCAAAGATGTCAAAGATGTTGGGCGTCTTCTGCAGAACAGCTGCCCACTTAGCAAAGTTCGGAGCCTTGGCCTCCAACCCACTCAGAGCTTCCTTGAATAGAATTCCACTTTTGCCCAGCGACAACAGACGGATGACAAAGGAGGCTACCAAGACCTGTGAGAGTAGTTAGTTAATTAGTTTTAATAGTGGCTGATAAGCGCGCTGATGTCCTAGAAGGCTGAAGACTTTAGAATCAACTAACCTCTGCCAGAGTGATCTTGTCACTCCCTCCAAAGTAGGGTGCAGCGTCGTTTAACTCTGGCTCAATCTCCTTGACAATGTTCTCGACCAAAGTTTGGCCAATCTTATCAGCTTCGGCATCCGTCTTTGCCGCGATGCCTTTGTAAAGCAGTCCCAGCACGTTATTGGCATATGTATCGGCAAAAAATTCGATTCGAGCGCGGCGAAGAGCACCGTCCACAGAGTTGGATGGCGGTACAAGCTGTGAAGGGTACGCGTCCGCGAGGAACTTGGCGATGATGGCAGACTCGGTGAGGATCTTGCCATTGTAGCTAAGTGCTGGGACCTTGCCGCGTGGGTTGATCTTCAAGTAAGCCTCTGTTCTTGGAACCTCCAGGTCAATTTGCTCCTCCTCGAAAGGGATTCCCAGCTCAGCCAAAGTGATATGAACTCGGTGAGCATCTTAAAGAAATTAAGTTAGCTTCGTCTTCGTAGCAAGAGACAAATGGGGATGTACAAGGGCATTGGCGGTTGGTGTAAAAGATAATCTTAGCGTCTTGAGCCATGATTGCTGTTTGTTGGAGTCGGTAGTTTGTTATGAATTGCTGAAGATGACTTGATCAATGTGACTTGATTATAGAAATATGAAGAAGCTGAGAGATTCTGCAATGCGTCTGTCACTCAAGTATATCAACACAGAGAAGATATGGACTATTTATACTCGATCAAGTCTATTCGTTGTTGCCCCCGTTTACTACTCTTCAACACATCATGATCATTACAAATCACATGAACGAATTCCTCCGGTTTATCGCCATTTATAACTCCGCCTGCAAATGGCGGGGGTTAGGGAGCCAGTCTCCGTCTTTGGGGTTGCGGACTTTTGCGGAGTTTGTCCCCATCGGTTATATCAACCACTTATGCAGGGGTTGAGAAGAACATGGACCTCCGCTGCGTGATGATTGTTTCTGTACAGGATGAAAAGAAAGCCCTGGGAAGTAGGCAAGTATCTTGTGAAATCAAACCGAGTCTTTGTGCACCTTGGTATATCAGACTCATGGGATAGCCCGCCTACTTGATTACAGCTTAAGAATTGGTACTCCCTGCGGCAGAAGAATCTACTGGCAGAGTTGATTGTTGATGATGCTCATGGAAAGGAGCGGCACACTTACTGGCCCGACAATTGATGAGGCGTCCATATCGCAACTAATCGTGTTGTCTGTTCCATGTTGTGCAGCTCTTGAAGTTTCGCTTCCTCAAGCTATTCGAATGTGATAACTTTCGCTAACGAACCCTCAACTTAATTTGTGCCTTGAACTCTGGCTTGACAAAAAACCAGCTCTCATGTTTCCACGACTCATATTGAATCTCAATATCAAAGTTTTTCACAATCTGCGGAATGGCTTTAGACATCTCTAGGATGCTAACGTTCTTGCCAAGGCATGATCGGGGACCGGCGCCGAACTAGATGTTGAGCACTGATATTAGCCTCTGTTTGTGGGAGTTTCCAAGACAGATATTTCCACATACCGCAAAAGATGCTGCGATTCTAACGTCTTCGCCGGGTTGTAGCCATCGCTCTGGCCGGAACTTGGCTGCGTCATCTCCGAAGACGTCTTGGTTGTAGTATAAAGCCCATCCGTTTACGCCCACCTCCGCCTGAACACTTAGTCAGTAGCGCTTTTTTTAAGTTTATTTCCAGCATTTTTATATAAATGGAACAAGGGATTTTTACTTACCCCCTCTGGAAAGAATTGGCCTTCAATGACAACACCTCCCTTGGGCACGACACGCGTGAGCTGCGTGCCCACACCCGGATGAAGCCGCAGGGCTTCTTTGGTGACAGCCTGCAAGTATGGCATCTTCTGTGTTTGTTGGAAACCCACAGGATCTGATAGCTCCCCTGCCTTAACAAACTCATCAAGTTCTTCGCGAAGACGATTAAGAGCGTGTGGGTTGCTGTAGAGATGGTAGATAACAGAGCTGAGACCGATAGCTGTGGTACCAGATCCTGCACCGATATTGATCGTTACGCAGTGTCGTGTATCTTTTTTGGTAGCTTTACCTTGTTCCTGTAGCTTCAGCATTCTGGCCAAGAAGGTATCTTCATCATCTCCAACACCGCCCTTACGTTCCATAGCTTCTGTGTAGTGTTGTATCTGGGTGTCTATGAAAAAGTCCAGGGCCTTTGTTGGAGGTGTAAGGCCAAGAAGTTTGGCGAGTTGGATATACCGTAAGTGTATGCCGGGAATGAGTCCCGAAACCGCGATGTAGTGCCACATTCCATCCAGAACCTGACAAGTGTCATACATGTCGGTGTTGGACTCCATCATGCCCATGGACTTGCCAATCTAGAGCGAGAGCATGTCAGATAATGGCTTGATCTTCTGGGATGTATCGTAGCGTTAGATATTCACCGTGATAGTTGCAACAACGTCAAAAGCGTAGAACTGAAGGAACAGGGGTAGATCGACGACATCTCCTCGGTTGGCAAAGCCCTCCATCTTTTCCTTCAGAATGGTTGTCTGGGCATCGACCAAAGGCTCGTAAGACAACAAAGCCGACATGGTATATAGGGACGCGATTTGTTTTCGCAACGCTGCATGGTCCTTATTGTCGAGAGCATTCATCAGATTATGGAAACTAGGGTCACCGAATGGCTCGTAATAGCGAGACTTCGTAAAAGCGTTGCCAATTCGGTAGATTGTTTTGACAGCTTCGGGCGTGTTGAAGTCGTATCGGTTGGGCGCAATCTGCACGATGGGGCCTGATTCAAGCTGGTTTAGTGGCTACTGAACCTAGTTTATAGAATGATTGAGTAGAAGCGGTATGGTACCGTGTATTTTGTGAAGGTCAATCATGATCCCATGTATGTTGCCTGTGATCACCTTTTTGACCTCCCACAGACGAGTCAGTTTGGCGAGAAAAGGCCCGGGGACCTTGCGCAGGTTAGATAAGAAAAGAATATAGACGAGCCATAGAATAATGTAGAAGGCATAGCCAGCAACAAAGATCTTTACGAGAATGGCTAAGGCTTGGCTGCCATGAAGCTCAGCCAACGTGATTCCAAAACCACTGTTGACCAGCATGTTGTGTTCTAGGGACTCTGGGATCTGGACCCGCGAATGATCATCTACCAAAGGATTGTTTTACAATCTCACATTTTGAACGGAACATGGCTAACGGAAGTCTCTTATTTCATGAACTGCGGCGCTGGTGATACAACATATGCATGCCCGAGCGAGAATGTGTCTCTCTGCCACTTACTAATCGGGCCTACTCAACCCAAGAGCAGGAGACACATTTCTAATAGGTTTTATAGTTCTTTGTAAGCGAATGGACCCATTGTGATTTGTTCTTGGCTGTCGATCATAGATGGTAGGGATGTGCCCGAGTTCCCGAAGGATCCTCGTACAGGTCTCCGTTGCGGGTATATCCAGTCACAATGCATCGGTTTGAGAGCATTAAATGACCTCGGCCTGAAGACTCTTGGCTGTCGAGTCATGAATATGCAGGATGCCCACAGCTGCATGACAACTGCAGAGGCCTACCACATGCAGTGCAAGCATGGAGATGTTGCCGCGTCATGCGCTTCCCGTTTCCCATCAAGCAAGACCATGAATACACAAGGCTCCTCGAATCACACAATGGTGTAGTTGGATAGATATATCGTCGACAGCGTGGTGCCAATGACTAGTATTTTAGCGGCCAAAACGCGCCATATACATCCACCACCCATCGATAACTTTGGGATTCATGGCTGGGTTGTAGCCTTGAATCCATGCTCCTCCTGGGTGGATCGCTTTGAAAACCCGATTTCTGCACCCATCTCTTTACGGTCGACGTTGCTACCCATCAGACTAATTTGGAGATCATCCGCCCTACTGCGGTGACAACGAGGGGCTAAGGTGGTGCTGTTGATGCAGTCATCAACCAGCGTCCACCCTTGCTTGCACAAGCCTGCCGGTAGATAATTAGCCTTCCGTTTTTGGCGCTTCCGTGCGATCCTGGCAAGACTGCTAGGAGACATGACCCTGGGTTACCATATTGGGTTATTTAAGATAAGCCAACCTATGCTATGAAGACTAAATGGAGAGAAAGACAAGGAATGAGAAAAAAAGAAGGAAGATAGATGAATGAGCAATAAAACTACTCTACCTAATTGGTGACCTACTGATCTAAACCGCAGCAGCACTCTCATCGAAACCTTTCAAGAAGTGTGTCGTCTGGGGCCAAGGCTTCCTTAGCATTTTATCTTGACCCAACCTCCTAGTGAGGGGTCCTCTTCTTTTATGAATTATACATATTTCGCTGAGAAGGCTTATCAGAGAGTCACTTGTTCAGTCGTGCAACCTCATCAGACGCCCTCGTGGGATCTATGGGCCTCCAAATTGTAGAATCGCCAAGTCGGTCGGCTGTCAATCCAGCTCTTCCAGGATGATTCATCCCGGCTTCTTGTTGTCTGAGGTAGGATATGTTTCTCAATCTCTCGTGTTCGATGGGCGTCAGGCGTAGCTACAAGATTGTCAGTCATCTGGTGTATTGAGTGCGGATTGCACTGAGGCACGACGGAGGTGAAAACATACATAGATCTCGATGCCTATCGCGTGGATAGCAAATGCCAGCCATAGTGCTGGACCAAAGGCAAGGCCAAGAGAAGCGCCAACTTCCATATCAGAGCTCCCATCGGCCATATCAGCCCTGACCAGAACCTGTTTGTCCAAATCCTTTCCTGAATAGAAGCTGTCGCAATCAGGGTATCTTGCTTTTGTGTCAGACTCCCCAAGAACAGAGTCGATCTGGGCACACATCCTAGGCTGGTAATAATCGTTGCTTGACCCTATAATGGAGGCCATGCTGATCATGATTATTCGAAGGGTGATAATGCTCGAAGCCTGGATTGTCATGTGTTAGTACAGCAGGCAACAATAGGTCATGACATACATAGAACCAGCCTCGAAGCATCCAAGCTCGATGCTGTTCCAGCTGTAGCCTCTTGATGTTAACCCATGCCAAGAACAGACATGTAATGAATGCAATCCCCACGAACCCGACCCCAAGTTGAGTTTCCAAACCCCCTCCGAAGGCATGCCTGGCGGCCATAAGAGCACCAACAGTGCTGACGAGTGATAGAACGAGAATGATGTAGCCATTGATTCGATGGATGAGTATGACTTTGTGTCGAATTGCTGGAACAAACTGAAAACATACGAGCAGCCCAGCGGGGAGGATCGTGGCCAGATGCATCAAGAGACCAATTCTGGAAGTTCCTTTGTCGGAAAAGTAGCATTCACCAATGCCAGCTTGGCTATGTTTTCCACAGAATGTCCCATCGTAGTCAAGATATTGTAGTCTGGCAAGAGAAAACCCCAGCAATGTCCCTGCGAAAATGAAGAACAAGACAAAGTTGTAGCCCTTGGAGAAGCCGATGGGGTTATAGACCTTGCGAGCAGCAGCCACAAAGGCATTGGCAGGAGGGCGATCCGATTTGACCATGGTGAATGATGGAGTAATGAGTTGAGAAGGCTGGAAAGGGTTCAACAAGTCGAATTAGAAGATCTCGTAGGTTAGATTGATAGTGTGATGGCCAAGTCCAAGGGGACATGTTCGAGTCTTTATGCCATTCTGTGGCATCTCTCGCTCTGTTTGAGAATGTTTTCATTCATTCCAAAATCACCGTTCAACTACATGATCATTCCTTCAGACATTATGGACCATTGTGCCTTGCAAGTCGGGCTTCGGGGTAATTAATTAGCCTCTTATTGGAGAAAAGCCCCAGCCTGTTGGCGGCATCCTGATGCCGATTGGACCAGGCTCGCATCTCATAAGATCCAAATAAGCCTCTTTACGATTGGGCAGTCAGCTCATGCGGTAGATTACGCAGCGCGTTACGTAGTGACATTTTGGTGGCTGGGATAGACAACAGCTGAACTTTTTTACACCAGAAATAGAGGCAGACGCGTAAGTGCTTTATGAAACAGAGACTGCACCCATCTTTGGTCGACATCTGATAGGATGCATTGCCTTTTAAGTGAAATGCTTCTCAAATAACCTTGATTAGGGCCAGCCCTGTGAGACTGGAACCCAACGTCAATGACTCGCAACTGGACCGTACGGAAGAGGCCCAAGGCTTGGTCATGGTCACTGGTAATGCATGCAGTCTCTTCAACCCGAATGGTCGAAGCTACTGTCGCTGAATTAGGTGCCATGTGGCGTGCGTAAAATACGCGTCGTCGCTTGTCCAACACGGGGCCAGCCACAGCGCATCCGCGCAGTAGACGTAAATGGGAACGAGGAAGGCAATGCACAATTGTCTGGGTACGTCAATGGCTTGGAGAATACGGATAAGCAGATGCCAAAACACACCGAGCAGTCTGGAATAGCACCACACGTGCACTATAGTGAGAAGGCCATGGCTGTGTATTGGCGAGCCGAGCTTTTCTGTTCTCGTAAATGGGCCCAGATTGGACTGTTCCCAGCACATCTTTACCATTCTCGGAGTAAAAGCCTCCGTCACAGGACCATGCCAAGGTATTAACCTATGGGGGGAAAAACTAGTCTTTGCGGAAATTTCCTGGGTGTTTATGAACTTGCATACTTTAAATAGTCCCATAATGATCTACAGTAAAATGAAGTTCCTCGACGTAGTCGTCAAGATCGAATGATGGCTTTCACTCTCTGAAGTTTGCTGTCGATCATCTCTCCTTATCACTGCGGGCTACATGACGGCAAAAGACCGGTTTCAGAATAAGGGACAGGGTCATGTCAATTAGCCCAGTGTTACACTGTCTCTATACGAGAATATAATGTCTTTCCACTGGTAAACGACTCCACCGGCCAGGTCAGGAGGTCGTTCCTCATTCGTGGCAACACAGTGAGTCTCGACACCTTTTCTTCGGACAATATCGTTTGCCCGAGTCGCGACTGACGAGCAGACCATCAAAAAGGCCCATGGATCTTGAAACGCTAGAAGCCAAGATTACAGGGCTACCTTCACCTGTTTCGGTACCGGAGCTTGTGCCGTTCGCAAAATTGGGGAAACAGTCTGTAACAGGAGTCGACCAGGGTTTCCTCAAAACACCAGACTCATCGGAATATCGGCACTTGACTTATTAGCACGGAGGACACCCCACCATGGATGGCATGAAACAACTATGCGCGCCAAGACCTGATAGGTGGAACACTATGTGGTGATTCTCCGCCTCGTAACCCGGAACAAGCGTACCTTGAAAGCATTTGGATATATCAAGTTCAGTCCCTCATACCTGTTGGCCACTCTCGCAGCCACCAACAATAGTTTACAAAGACAACATCGCATTACCCAGACCAACATGCAGTTTTCGACGTCCCTCAGCCTTCTCGGCCTCCTCCAGCTGGCGAGTTGCCAGAACATTGTGGGCTTTGGTCCTGCATTCTCCCTGGGTCCAACAAAGTCATGGATCCGTGAAGCCACCACGACACTTGTCTTGCCCAAGGTTCCCAGCCCTCCCAAGGACCGCCTTGCGCTGTGGCCTGGCATGGGGACAAGTGGTGGCGATCTCATCCAGGCTCTAGCCGTTGCGTTTTCCGACCCCAAGAGGTTAGTGAAAGGCCCGATAATGTCTGGGTAGCGGGCGGAACAACTGACTTCGAGTTAGTGAATGTGGTGCAAGCGCTGGGCAATGGTGTACATGGGCCAGCACGCTGCAAGGTAACCTACAGTACCGCTTATCTTGATGAAGGAACCCATGACTGATTCAAGTAGGAGAACAACTTGGTGGCAAGCAAGTTCCAGCCAAAGCTGGCACCAAGCTCACCATTCACTGTGGGTTCAACCCGACCCCTTACCTGCCATGATGTTAAAATTATGCTAGACGTTTACAATGACTCTACCGGCAAATATGACCAGACCGTTACAGTTGGCGGCTCCGTCATCTCGTCCCTCTCAACTTGTAGGTAACAGACATCGGACTGAATGTCTAGGCCACTAACACAATATAGCCTCCGGCCACGCCGAGGGCTGGGGCACCGCTGTTGAGTGTCAAGACGATGCTTGCGTCGGCACGGTAGCCGCCCATCGTAAGTTCCTGGTATTCGTCCTTTTAGTGGG